GTTATTGTATTACATTTAGTTAACATTTTAAATTTAAACATATTATTCAATGTTTTAGTCTTGTCCATTTTTTCAACATCTTTGGCTGTGGCTGACAAAGTTAAACGTAACATTTCATTGAACCTGTGATCATAATATATTGGCTTGTCAAATGATTATCAACGAATTACGGTCCGTTACATACATGATGGACACGCATCCGTCCATCACCCGAGACGTAATCTCGTTTAGCCAGTAGTTAGCCCTCGGCTAAGTCAGCTTATTGTGTATATCAGCAACAACAAGGCTCAGGAGTGTTAGAAAGTTAGCCTAAATGGCTCCTTGTTCTTCTGATGATCGAAAGTCAACAATCCGCCTATGAGGGGTGGCGCAAACGTCTTCACTGACAGATGAGGATGAAACCTCTTCAACTCGGATATCTATCACTGACACTGACAGCGTTCACTGATGATCACGCTCAAGACTGATGATGCTAACACACCTTCATCAACACTACTCCACTACATGACGTCACGTCACGCCGGCCGCAGACATTCTACTCTCAATTGACGCTATCGCCAACTCGAGATCAAAGTTTGTGTCTTGTTATAAAGTGTGTTATCTACGTGTTTTGTTATAGTATCGAGAGTGGGGTCAGATATGTATTACATATTTTACTGTAAACCTAGCAAATATCTTATAAGCCATTTCCAAATACACCACTACCACTTAGGTTACTGGTAACGGTGTTTAGTAATTGATCAGCCAATTAAGACAGGAGGCGGTGGCAGCTGGCTTACGAACCGATGGATATAATAACACACACGTATATCATTCGCACTGAAAAATAGACACATATCAACATTGGGGTAAAATACCGGTGATTAGGTAAAACTACCGGGAGAAATTGCGGAAAATAGTGGTGTTTAAACCCGAAATCCGTGGAGTCTGTAATTAATCTGACACCGGCAATGCGATGGCGGTAGATGGCTGTGGCCGCGAGTGACGGCCGAGTGTGTTGGCAATGTACAGTACAATCAAACCTAACCAGGGCTAGTCGTCTCAAAGCTTTGGCCACCGTCGCCGTCTGATGTCACCTCCACTGTTGGCTACGGGGATCGCAATGTTCCCACAAGGAAGTAATTAATTTGAAGGCTTTGCTGAGGCTGGCACGTTGCTATTATCAGACGATTTGAATGGACGTCCCTTCATGTCGGACTGCAATTACTGGAACGACTATTACCAGCTAAATTGCACCGCGAAACAAAGCTTTTTGCGACGGACGAGTGAGTGTCCAGCGCATGACACGCCACGCCTACTACTGTACTGAACATACTTTGTGTTGTATTGCATTTATCGGAGCAGCTTCCAGTTTTAATATTGTTGGGCTGTTGATCAAAAACGAAATAATTTTAGCTCGGCTTATATTTTTAAGAGCTTGAACTGCTGTAGAGTTTAAGCTGTTGTCGAAGTTGAGTTTAAACAATCCATTAATACCTGTGTCAATACTTCAGTCAGTAATAGTTTACGATAGAGCAAAAAATCCCCCCTAAACAAACAAACAAGACGTTCAAAAAGGTAGGCTCTTAAAAGGAGCACTCATCGGGACGAATCCGAGCAAGATTTCTTCGGTCAAAACCAACAAACCCCCGAGTGAGCAAACAAGCGATGAAAAATCCATGAAACTGACCAGCCGGAATATGAGAGGCCCAGAACAGGTGCCCACAGCGTGTTCATTGTTGATTGAATAAAGTGTCAGCTCGAGCTTGTTAGAGATTGTAAGTGATATTCTCGCTTCGTGGGACCCTAATAGGCTTCGGACCAAATTTGGGTCCGTCCATTCCGCGCCACTTGGGCTGTCAGCCGCGGCCGCGCGTTGTAAATACGTCACTGCCATCGGATCTCCGGCGATAAATCAAATGTAAATAAATTGTGTGTTTATTATCGGCCTGAGGTGAGCCTCCTCCACTCAACGCTAAGTGGCCATCTTCCCTTCTACGTGTGCGTGCTGCATACTGCACACTGCAAACTGCAACTGCATACTGCACACAGGCAACACATTTTAAAAATACAGTATAAAAAAACTCTTTCCTGGACTTGTATTGCGTTTTCTTGGTCTAACTGATACACCTTTTACGATTAATGTTAGTTTTTTCTGAAATTTTTATATTCATCCAACTTTTGGAACTTTGCATTAGTATAATTACTCGGCTTAGTTGTTTAACAATTAATTTATTTTTCAAGTACTATTTTTATAGACTTACAAAGCGGACGATTCTCAAATAGTGTCAAACCAGTCGTGCACTTAAAAATTTCTCGACTCCTGAAAATAAAATTTTATTTTTTGTACGTAACTTACCTAAATGAAGCCGACACTTTGATCTCGGGGCTGTTTCTACTCTGCCAAATCAGACCAACACCTCACAACGTTTAGTCCCCATGTTATACTGTTACTATACTTTATCCAGTCGCAGCAAGTCTAGTTACTGTAGCTGTATCTGATATTCTCCTCTGAGCCCCTATCCTCTCTAACAGCTCACATTATAGCCTATTATCCACTTGACAACAATACTCCCCGCCCTGCAGCCCACGCCCTGACGTTGACGGGGGTTGTTTATTTTTTATTGTAACCAATCTGAAGGTTTTATAAAGGTTTCGGTGCCGCTTTTTCACGCCTTTTTGCCTCCTTGTACGTGGGTGGTTTAATCCTTTGACAATTTGAGAATACATCCCCTACCTGAGCTTCTAGAAAGTCTTGATCCGTTTATTTAAAGGGATAATGTTTACGTATCAAACATCGGGCAACTGCGATTACTGTCACTGTTGCAGCCGCTTCAGCGATATTCTGACAAAACAAAGTTGATATTTTCTCTATTTCATTTTAGGATACTTCAAAAACTGTCTAAATAACCTCCTGCTATAATGGAAAAAATTCAAATAACTGGCCAAAAAAATACTTCTTGGTCGTCTAAAACAACAGTTTCTGCATACAACTTAGATTCACTGATCTCCCATGTTTATGTTAATTGTATGATAACAGGAGTTTACTAGTAGGCCTATAACATTTGTCCTATGTTGACAGTAGTTATCTCTTTACTAAAAATGGATAAAAACAAGCGTATTTATTTTGAGATTGGAGAGTAGGAAATATCATAAAGTAAATCCTAGTGTGGAAGGGTAGTTGTTATCTTTATTTTATAAGTATAATTAATGATTTTTATTTTCTGAACACTTGATTTCATTACATAATTTTACAAATTACTTTTTTCGAAATGTATACAGTATTTGCTAATTTGTTTACATTGTGCCCACTCTAAATGCTTTTTAAATGTAATGTCACTATAAAACCAATTGCCGAGCCTAAACACAATAAGTTAGTTGAGAACTGTGATTCTGATTACTGTTCCTGTGATCACAGTCTCGACAACTTTACAAGTCGCAAAGTCAACCCTTAACCCATCATTGCGGCAGTAAAGTCGCAAAGTACTAAACAATAAACTCGCGCCGGACATTCAAATACATCAAGTCCCAAATTACAGCTCAATTTACATATCGATTTAAAGCGACGCCATAAAGTGACAACATCCGGCGCTGCTTCGCGGTTAACAGAGTTATTAAATATATTTATTTAGCGGAGAGCTCGCGACGTTTATGCAGCGTTCGCGCAGGCAGAGGTGTAAATCTACCACAATTACGGCTCTTCATTGTATTCCTAAGTTTAATACGCTGTTAACCGGGATTGGACACAGAGTGGGTTTTATTTTGAGGGTATTGGAGGTAAGCGCTGTCTAGAGCCGAGTTTATTGTTTTGTTGTGAAAGCGTTGTAACATTCTGCATACGCTTGGAATGAATTTACACTTAGTTGAATATCACAACTCGAAATCAAGGATATTGGACATTTTTGAAATACGACCAACAGATTTTAATAACAAAAGTTTTATTAAACTTTTAACAAAAGTTTAATTAAACTTTTCACAAAAGTTTAATGGTGTACAAATTCGATCATAGTCAATTCATGATAAGTCAATAGCATTTTGGTGATTCGAAACTGGGCCCAGCTGTCCTCAATAAATACCAATAAATACTTTAAGTAGTGTCAATTATTGGGAAGATACGTCTGGTCAGTAGCAATGCTACACAGATCATCTCACTCCATTCTACACTTAGCATTCATGCTCAGCTTAAATCCACACCTGTGTGTCACTGACTGTAATTTAAAAATGTGTATTTTTAAAATATACAAAATACCAACAAAGTCTAGATACTACCTTATCCCAATGATACTATTTGTCGTCTAAAGCCACTATGTGTCTACTCCGTGCCCAGTGAGCAGAGCGCCGAGGCAGGGTCCAGAGCCAAGACTCGCTGCACCAACAAGCTGACACCGCGCTAATTGGCCCCCGCATAATTGTCCTAATTGGCCTCGTTTTGCCGCACTTGTCACCTTTTATTTGCAAACATTTTCCTCCCTAATTAAAGATCATTCCGAGTGTACTCATTGCACTCTTTTTGTTTGCTGTTGCGCCTCGCCGGTCGAGATTAGTTCTGTCCTAACGCCTTCCTCGGTTTTTATTTTCCTCACGTTTTCCTTTTACTTATTGCACCTCGTTCCTATTGTTTCTGTTTAGTTTTAGTCTGTCTGTAGTGTTAATGATTCGTTGTTTACACCACCCTCAGTACTTTGGGCTTAGGCGCTTTTTTCATGTACAATGTGCATCGTTGGGCTCTCTTGACTTTGTTAGGTACAAATATAACTATCTAGATATTCCCCACCTTTAAGTGTTGGAATACAATTTGAATAAAAATATCGTTGTTACATCGAGTCACTTATTCATGTAAAACGTAATTTTTTAACCAAATACAAACCAAAAGAACAATCTAATAATTTATCATCTTTATTTCACACCAATCATCACAGAACAAAATCTAAATAATACTGTATATTGTTAGCCTATTAGCACAGACTGAGAGTGTACTTCGGTTTCTACAAGTTGATGATACCACGATCACCATGTTGCAGGTCCCGACATCCCAGGGTTTCTGCTGCAGCCGTTCCGCAAACCCAAGAGGATCCGCACGGCGTTCAGCCCCAGTCAGCTGCTCAAGCTTGAACACGCCTTCGAGAAGAACCACTACGTGGTCGGTGCAGAGAGGAAACAACTGGCACAGTCGCTGTCCCTCACTGAGACACAGGTATGTCGACATTACAATGCCAAGTATGTCCTTTAGAAGAATTGTTAACTAACGAAGCAATTCTAATTCAACTGAAAACGTTGAGAATTTAATCTAAATCTGACAATATGAAGTAAGGCCTTTTTGCAAGTGACACAGCAGAAACCCACGCCCAAACTTTCGAACAGTTGAGTTGTACCAGCGTGCATTTGTCACCCCAATATAAATTAGAAAATCGTTTAAAATAGCCATTTGCTAACTGCCACCATTCTCATCCCCTCAGTTGCACAATCACTGCTCGACTACCCTCACCCTTCAGCGACTACGACCCCATCAATTTCCAAATCATTAGAAGCAAAGTACGCATCTGCCGCTCACCCCATTGGTGCAAATTTGTCCGATTGTCATGGAAATGAAGTCAATTTCTGCGTCGCCGCCGTGTCGCGCCGGTCCACCGAGCGTTCTCAATGACGCTTATTGTCGAGGTGTTATGTTCGGCCGCCATTACACTCTCGTGTGATTGCTAACTCGGTAAAAAGGAAGGGTAACGATCAGTACCGGACAAACCGGGGTGGCTGACTAACATCTCCACCGTAAACACTGTTCTGGGGCTGAGTGCTCCAAGTGCCCACAGTTCGATATACTCAAATAAAATATTCCTATAAAAATATATAGAACCCTCTGAAAAATAGAAATAATGAATTTAAAACACGCTTTAGACTTTGTAATGTACTTTTGTTAAAATTCAGCTCTTTAGTTAAAGCCAAAGGTGGTCTAAACTGCCACGCAAACAACCCAGATAGCATATTTTAAATTAAGTTCGTTTGTTGTTAGAGGCATGATAAACAAAAAGGATGTGATAGCAAAGATAAAAAAATTCTCTATAAACCTTTGTCTTTGCTGGACTTTGTCTTGCTTTAGGGTGCGGAGTTATGAAGGCCATGGCTAAATTATTGTGTCAAGTTTACAGCTTTTTGGAATCAAAGAATAATTAATTATTCTCATTCTTTGTTATTCTTATTCTTCGTTAATGTTTAATTATTTAAAATAACGGGAAAAAATGCTTACATAGGTCTACGTATTTATTGCTTGTACCCTATAAGGTGCTTCACAACAATATTCCTCTTTATGTGATCGAAAATTTCTTCAAAAATATTTAGTCAAATTTTGTAATAAAAATTATTTAAATGTTAGCAGTTTGCTTGAGAGTTATTAAATTATCCACATAGAGTTGAACGTATTGACAACATTGTCGTATGTTGGTGTGCAAAGTTATTACTAATCTGCTAATTTTGTAATAATTTTACTATTGATATGTTTTTAATATATAAAATTTACATTGATGTTATTTTTAGTATTACTTTTATCACTGAAAATTATATTAACTTTAATTTAAAATCATAAAAGAAATGATATTAGTTATAATGAACGACGTAAAATATCTTCAAAATAGTATATTTCATAACAAGAGTTGAAAGTGAGTCATTACATATTTGAGACCGTGTTTGAAGTGCGAGATTTATCATGCACTTTAAATGGTCGAGAATATGTATAGACCCACTTCACTCGTGTTTTGAACGTTACTTTTTCCTATACTACAAAAAAAAAATAAGGTCTTTTCTCATGAGCAACAAAACTGTTTTTACAAATTGACTCAAGTCAGGACTTAGACTAATTATTTTCTTGAATATTAAAAAACTCATAGTATTTTTCAGGTTATAACATGAATATTAAACAAACAGATATTTACTTTGGTTGTACAGTTTTAGATTATGAAAATTAAAACAGTTGACAAAACAATAAAAAATCTTTGTTTGCTTACATCGGAAAAATCCAAAAAAGATTGTCAACATTACTTTCGCATAGTAAACATTCTTTTTCCGTAGTAAACAATATAATGATGAATTTTCGCAGGTGATAAACCAAGATAAACATGTAACGAAAACAGGTAATTTCACAGTAGTGTAGTGAAAGTTTGTGTATCCATGTACATTTCACTTTAAACAGTGGATAAACATATGCTGACTGTTTAAATTGCATACTGTACATATTTGCGAAATATTTCAATTTACAATTAACTATTAATCGTGTTAAATCACCCACTCATGTTATCACCGCTCAAAAGGCAGAGGACAATATAACAAGCTAATTAGTCGTATATCTCGCTTTGCACGTCTCATTATCTTACAACACAACACCATGTCTACCGCCCGCAATGCCATGACGGGGTGAGCTTAGGGGAGGCGAGAGTTTATGAAGTGTGCCGCCATTTTTGCCGAAACACACCCTCGGGATTGAAAAATAATATTGACACGAGGAGTGAGATGATCGGGACAATTTTGTGGGGATCACCGAGATATTATATAAGGTGTATTGAGGGGAAGGGTCTCAAGTCTGCGCGTTATTATAAACAATAATACCACGGTGTGTGCCCTATTGTAACCATCTGTCGATCTGTCGCCGAACTGACAACCGTTAGCAGCGCAAAAACTATCAGGAACAGCACCGTGCGACGCCAAATTATGACGAAAAGCTCAATAGCTTGTGAATAATGACGTAATGTTTACGTATTACAGCTCTGGGGTAAGCCAGTGCGAGTTTTATTCTACAAAAATCAACAGCAAAATACTTAACCGCGGAGAGTGTGACAGCAAGAAAGAAATTAAGAAGTAAAAGAAATTCTCGTGTTAACAATGTACACCATTAGAGCATTAATATCGGAATTGTTTTTCAAGGATAAATATTCTAATATTTTCCAACTAACCAATAGAAAACAGCAAGAAGTTTAAATACCCCGCCACAGCAAACCTGCACCTGCAGACTAAGCGAATGCCCTTTTGCCTGATTTGATTATTACTTAAATATATTTAAACAATACTAGCTCCAACGGGAAACTAGGTTTGCTGCTACAGGGAGAATAATGTAGTGTGCCTTTTACTAAAATATTACTAGCTTGGAAAAAAAATAAATCTGCCCAGATAAAAATGTATCCATAAACAAGCAAACTACAACAGTTAACTTGTTCTCCGTAAGAATAAAATTGTGACATTTTCAATTTAGAATTTGTAAATCTTTTACTTTACCAATAACTGTACAAAAACACTTCAATATTTTAAATTATTTGTCCCGGGTCCAAGTCTTATTACCATGAGACCTACAGTAATAGGTTCCCGTTGATCAGTCTTTTTGTTGTTGTTACCGTATCCTAGCCTGGCACATGTCTTGACACTCAAAACTAATAGGTTACCTAGCATCGTATATTTACTAAAACATAAAAGGTAAAGTTGATCATTTGAAAAAAAATTAGAAGTTGGAGAAGAAAGATGTGTCATATGAGCGTCAAGAAATGATTCAATCCGCATTCTTCTGTTTGAGATCGTGGTTTAGTTTCAATAAACTTAATATGAATAATTTATTTGTTCAGTTCAAATACTATGGGAAAAGTTGAAATTCAATCAACGTTTAAAGAGTTATCCCCCGTCAGTTTCCATGGCAACGTCGTCACTTCCGCATCCGCCGCCGATCACTTTATTGTTGCATAGTTTGGCTCAGCCCCACTTCCGTCTGCACCCAGTAGAAGATGGAAGTCTTTTGTATGTTCGACGGCGACACAAGACTTTACTGCCGCAGTTCCGGACGAGATGGTCCGTAACTTCTCCATCACCGTAAACATGTTGTTGATATCGCAATGTGATACATTAAACTACCGTCCGACAATGCTGTTTGTTAGGGGAATTGGATCCGGAGGGTGCGCCCGCGCTCGCGTCTCCAAATCGAACGATTTTTATTTTCAGATATTTATGTTTTGTGAGCTAGGTTTGAAGAGAAATCGTCTAAGCATGTTTTAAAAATTTGTGTTTCATATGCTATTGTGACGAAATTCATACTCTTTAACATTAGATTTTATTATCAACGCTCTTGTAAAAATGCACATGGTACAGTAACCATTATGGTAGTTTAGAGTGAAAAATATATTATTATTAGCTCCTCCAAGCTCATTATAAGAACTTAGACCTAAACAATTGGATTTTTAGCTCCTCTAGGTGTTACATCTACACATACAGTATAACTTGTTCTAGCCTAAATAAATAAATTAAAACAACGTATTTAGAACTATATGTATTTTGCATTTGTTCAATGTTTCCTGATTAACACTTCTAGTACATTTATAATTAATTAGGCAAACTTCTACAGTCAAGACATTGGAATACAATAGAAAGCAACATTTTAAGCATCTCCTAATCGATAACAGATAATAACTTCCTTATCTCCTCACATAATGAGCCGATATCAGTTACAATGAAACTGCGATGGTCCAGATTGTACAATTCTAGTAACTATAAAACGATTTTGTGAAGACCAATTGACGACATTGCTCTAAATGTAACGTTTTATTGCTTCTTTCTCATTAATCTAGCTGTAAAACACTATTATCGAGCAATAATTAGCTTATTAAGTGTTAATTCCCACTGAAACTGTCATTAGCCTAACGTGTGGTGAGATTCCGTTATCAGATGTAATGAAGCGATAATTGTACAGATACGTTGTCACTATGTGCGTCACAATATCTTATCACACTTTGTCTATTATCGAAACATTAGTCACAATCTAAAAAAATCAAACTGATTTGTTTATGGAAACTTCCGCTTTATATAGTTTGTAATAAACTTGATTAGATAGCATGCATTTGCGAAAAAACTTCCTTATGGTATGATTTGAAACTTTTATCCTAGAATATAGAAAATAATAGTTTCTGTCTCAAGAAAGATGATTTTAGAGTACTTGTTTCCAAAATGTGAGCGGAAGGTGATCTGTGTCTTTTCTGGAGTTTTGATTAACTGTACTTTAATTATATTACAACTCTATTTTAATGGATGTACAACGATAATAATTCCATTAAAATAATGTAATAACTATTCCTATGTTGGATTATTATGTATCAAGAAGGAGGTAGATATTTTCAGACTTTATAATATGTCACGAATAAATGCTAAACTGGATATTTTATACACAAATTGTATTACATATACCGGTATATCTGTATAAATATAAAAGTTTGTTATCTATATGTATTGCATGCTCTCCCTAAATCAAATGACTGTCCGTTGTAGTTCGATTATGTCAATATTTATTCAGGGGAGTGTGAGAGGGTATATGTGCCCGCGGGATAGCCTCGCTAGGGGTCGTTACTGGCTGATCGCTCATTGGCCAAGGGCTTGTATAGCCTCCCTCAGGGCTCAGGTCGTTAATGTCGCTTTATCAGCCGTTTTGGTAACCGGTGGCCATCACACCATCAGTCGAGGGGTGGCAATTGTCTTATTGTAATGCGTGTGTCACTTAAACGAAAGGGGGACACATATATAGATTATACTTAGAGCATGAAGGGATTGATGTTTGCCTTTTGTACATGTTAATATATTTTAAATGTTAGATAGACGTCTAGAAACGTGACATATCTTGTAATTTGTCAATTCATTTACGCATTAAAAATGTATAGTACCTAGTCGTACAATATTGAAATTCTAACACTGAATTTATTCTATTAGTTCAAATTATGAACGGATATGGGGTTTAATTGTTTTCCTTCCTTATTAACTATCACGAATGTATAGTTTAAAATTTTAGATTGTATTGTGCATAGCACGCTAGGTCTACATTTTCAGCTCACAGGAGTCTTTCTATGTTCAATATGTTTACCCTAATGTTGACAATTTTAAAATGTATCAGTAGGGAAATCTAAGACCTGTCGGATATATCGTGTAACATATTACGCTAGAAATAGTGAGGCAACTTTTAATGCTATCTTCTTAAAGTGTTTAATTGAATATTAATAACTACACCAAAGCAACACGCTACTCAAACTATTCTCTTGGTCCAACGTTTAGTATGAAGGCCGTCCTATTTGTCTATAGAGAGGGGAAAGCTACAAAACACAACTACTACTGCTGATTTCTCCTGACTGGCTACACCAATCACGGTACAACATCATACAGTACATACAGTCTACGGTTACGTTGTTCATTTTTCAATTACAAACTTTAAATAACGCATACACTAATGAAACCCCCATATTTCAACCATTCGATTAATCATAAATAAATTGCCACAAAAACTAATACAATGGATGGTTTTGAGAAATTGTGGCTTACAGTTCTTTGGGAAACGGAGAGCCGGCCACCTCTGGCCCTAATCCGCATATAGAAGTATGGTTTGGTTAGGTTAGGTTAGATTATATAAATATGGCCCCTGAATTTACGACCGGTGGCCGGGACCCCTACACTCCAGTTCTTTGACTGAGAGCTTATACGAATTTGGGGAGACTAATATAATGCAGTTATATTTTAATTCTATAGAATCCTGCGTAATAATAGGGAAATAAATAATTTACAACAAAAATATTAATTGAATAATTGTTCGCCGTTATCAATGCTCAAACCGAGCGCAGATTGCACGACTTCGCCGCACGAGCCAACATTTTGCGGCAAATCGCCACTTTCAATTACGTTATTGCGAACATTCGCTACTTTACGACATAATGGTGCGTCAGCGGTCGCCATTTTGAAAACCAATAACGACCCGACTGACTTAGTGCATTGGGCAACGTCAAGTCGCTCAGATTTAGAGCTCGGAGGTCCCTACAGATTGCACTTTCCAAGCTCATCATCCGGGAGTTATAGGGCTCGTGAGGGAACAGGATAACTGTCGCAATGTATAATGTTGTAGATTGGTCATTTACTGTGAAACCGCAACTCAGATAAACTAGCTCGGGGGTAGTTTGGGTTAACTCGAGTATGGGGCATTAGTAACTGAGTGGTTAGTACTCAATACAACACATTTACAGTAAATAAACTATGGACGCGTTAGCCGAGATACATCAATAGTCTTGATCGTCTCATGTACCATTTAAAAATACACTGCACTAACATTTTACATAAAGTACAAATTTGTTCATGGTTTTGGTTGTCTTGTGTTACACAGAGCAATGTGTAACGTCTAGTCTAGCCCAGTTACGATAGACTTCGGTCGATCGATCTATAAAACTCCGCTAGAGATCTCTGATACAGAGTACAAATTCAACTTTAATGGTCTCACTCACCGAAGGCTAAATGTCTTCTATTAATGGGGTCGTTAAAAAGCGTTAACAATTTCGTCGTTAAGTTAAATTGGTTGGTGGTGGCGCGGGGGGAGGGACAGCCGACCAATCGCAGGCCGCCTCTCTCCCGCTACCCAATCCAACTTTGTCGATCAACTCGATTAGCGATAATTGCAAAGTTCTTGCTCAACTCTTGAGTGATTTACTCCCCTTTTCTCTTCCCATTTTCTCCTTCTCTCGGTTTTGTTTTCGCTCGTGGCAAAGTTTAGGAGAGCTTTTAGAGACAATATTTGCGTTCCCGCGCCGCCCTTTTAATTAAATATGCTTCTAATCCCCCGTCCCGGATCTCTTTCCTTTTAAAGGGTCTATAAGAGCATTATGGATCTTCATCGATGGCAGATTCCCGCCCTTGGATATGAAATATCAATATCAAACACTGTAAATAATAAAAATGTATGTGGCTTCAGACCATGACCCAATTTATATATTTCAATCGATTTAGCAATGTGTTATGGTTTCCTCATATATAAGTCCACCTCCATTAATCTATGTTTCGTTTCCAGGTGAAGGTTTGGTTTCAAAACCGAAGGACGAAACACAAGCGAATGCAGCAAGAGGAGGAGGCGAAGGCTCAGCAGCAGGCGGCAGCGGCAAACAAAAACTCTCACCACGTCAATAAGTGGAAACAGGAGACGTCAGCACATCAGCAGCCTCAGCAGCAGCAGCAACAACAGCAGCAGCAGCAACAACACTACCAGCAGCACATGCAGAGGCACATGCGGGACTCAGCAGACGGCTGCTCCTCGGGCTCAGAGACCTAGACTGTGACTGTGCTGAACTACACTAGCGTTATGTGTTCCTTCCAACATCCAATGAACCTTTGTCTGGGGTGCATTGTGTAACTTACTTCATATGTTTATTACAATTGTAAACGTGAATGCGACTACTTAACTTATTCGTTGACGCTGTGATATTTGAACGTTCTTCAACACATAGAAAAGTAGAAAAGGGATTGTGAAAAGTAATAAGCTTTATAAACGATTTATGGGGATTAGTAAATGTGTTGGGAAGCTGTGGTGCAGAATGTACAGTTACTTTCCAAATTTAGTATAATCCTTCAATGTTTTATTCACCACACGGTCGAGATTTGTAAAAACCACATATCGGATTCAATTTCTGGGATAACTTTGAAACTGCCTTGTTTATTAAATCTATAAACTTGTTAGGGGAGTATAATAGGTTGAAACCTCTTTCTACAACTTAGTTATGGGTCTGTTCTTTTATCGACATGCAGTGCAAATTACGAAGCATTTAAGCTAAATTCCCAAGGAAAGATGGCAACTTTTAACTCAAGTGTTCAAGTCCCCTTGATAGTTAAGTTTCAATTATGAAATTCATCTCGAACTTAGGGGTTTTTTAGGACACCATATATTTTCTAACTTGTTCTAAATGTTCAACCTAATGCTGGATCGGAAGCCTAATTTATTTTGGCGTGTCCTTAATATTTGTTAAATCTGTAATTTTAGTGGTACAGTTTAAAACTTGGTGAAAATCCTATTACTACATAATCATCAAACAAATATGCATTTTGACTAAATGTCACTAATAATTAAGTATGATTAGGTGCCCGCGCATCTGCAAATAATCGATATAAATTTAGTTGTTTTTTTTACTTAATTGTGTAAATGCCTAACATAAGTGCAACGCTTATGATGTGTTCGTCCGGGTATTTGTTGTTGACCTAACACTGGAAACGAAATATATAATGAAATATGCTTCAAAGTTCCTATCAATAACGGCAAAAGTGTAAACAATTGCCTCTATTGCTCATCTTTATGTACTTAAATAAGTGAAATATAAATCTGAAGTATGACATAGAAATCTTCAATAAAATATCAATATAAATACGTGTTTTTCTTTAGTAATCATATATTGGTTTCATTTGTGAATTTATTTGGTTCTGGTTTTCGTAAATTGATCAAACAGACTTCAGAATCGTAGCAATTATTAAAAAACTAGAAAATAGATTTTGTATAAACTGTCAGTCAGTTATACAACTTCAGTTCATAAGGTATGTTTAAACGGATAAGTAAATGTAGGTATGCCAAGTTGTTATCCGTTAATATGTTTGTGGTTACTAAGCTTTTCGTGTTAAAAACAGTAAGGCCGACTCAATATTTTATATAGGAATCTAAGGCGATGAATATATTGTAAATAGACTAACCTAGTCCGATGTATTGTATATTTGTAATTACTCGTATTTAGAGTGTATTGTATTTTATTTATTGCGACTGCTACCGGTGTTAGGTTTAAGATCCTTACCAATACAAAATTTAAAGATATGTGTACGCATTTGTACATGTACAAAAGAATTTTAATTAGTTTTCATGTTTAGCTGTCAAGTTACTGCATATTAAAAGTTATCGAAGGTGAAAACCGAATAGTAGTACATTATTAAGTTAAGTTGTTTTCTATGATTGCTTTAATTTAATTTTACAAAACTTATTTCATTTTATAACTCAAAGTTACTGATGTAATACTAAGCTAATACTCTGTGCCAAATAGTAAAAAAACATTACAATGTTTGATTTTATTCGCCTTTAAAAAGCACATGCTGCTACCCATTTTTAAATAATAAACGTTGTTTTAATATGTACAGATAAAAGTTTTAAGTACTTTATCGTCCATTAATGAGTTATTTACACGTTGAAAATTAGAATAATAAATTGTAATTCAAACCGTAAGGATCAACATATGATAATTATTTCAAATTTTGTAAAATGCAAATTCAACAGATGTTTTTGATATCCTTATTCGGGAAAACTACATAATTTATTAAAAGTTGAACTGATAAAATTGTAATGTTTAATGAATTTTATAGAACCGTAAGATTGTATTTTTGTATATATATAAAGTTATCAAACATGTGAATTTACTGTACAGTGTACGTGTATAAATTAAACTTTTACGTAAGTCAATGTATGTATGTACAATGTAATGTCGAACAATCCGTATGATATTGTTTTTTAAATGTAAATTAAACACATCTATTCCTATCATTGCTGGCATTTATAATTTATTTCCTTTTTAATTTCGGGATTTGTTTGTCTGAGAAAAGCTGTATGTAGTTTACTGTACCATCTAGTGGGCAAATATTTGAGAAATTAGGAATATTGGTGAACTCTTTTGTATAGTGTTTGTACATCAAAGAAAATTATATACAGCATTTATAAGGAACTATACTTTAAGCTCAACTGCAAATCACCAAACGATTTAAAAATCATTATTAGGATTAGCACATTTAAATTTCCTGCATATTTCAGAATGACACTTTTAATAAGAAAACCCTTATAACAAATTAAAAGTACTGAGCCGACTATAATTTGGTTTCAAATTTTTGACTGTTAGAAAAAAATTTTACCTTTGCACATAAGCTAGTAGCCTTTGCACATTATGAATTAGATAAGACGGATATGAATCCCAATTTCCTCTTTTAAAGTGCATCACTATTAGATTAAAGATTCGCTCACCTCTCGACGTAGGAAAATTGCTTCAGCAGTACACTTGGATCAGCATTAGAGGTGGAAGCCATGGTTGAGGCCGAGTGTAGCAATACATTCCTTATCGTTCTTTAGAAGTATAATACTAATCTAGTTGATTTATCAAAGGAGCGCCCCCTTCACCTAAACAATACATATCAAAGTCTGTGCAATCGACCAATATGTTTGTCCTTGGTATCACTTTTGGCGAATTACATAAGTAGACACCCATTTTCGATTAAAGCTAGGCTTTGAAAAGTTTGTTACTATTTTCAAGAGTTCGTCGAGACCAAGATTCCACTGATTGCTTTGATTGTTGAAGCTAACCTCTAAGAAAACATCACACATTCACAGGCTCAGCAACAATTTTCACAGTAGCGCAATATATGAATGCCTCTTTCAACTATTTGAATGTAAAATCGGCATATACTGTAGATGGGATGTCTACTACATTATAAGGACGTCAATGCTTTAACTTGTAAGAAGTATTTTCATTTCAAAAAGTTGTATTTCATCTATCAAAATACCCCAATACAGTACCCTACTGCTTACACTACTAATAGAGATAAAAGATAAATTACACTCCAACAAATAGGCCTAGCCGACTAGTAGAGATAAAAGATGAAATACGGTATAACATAGGCCTACACTACTAATAATGATAAAAGATCAAATACAGTACAAAGTTAGGCCTACACTAAGGTTAAGGTTTAAAGAGTTAAGGTTTGCCCAAGGCTCCATTGACCCTTAACGCGGCCCTGGTTAGGGATAAAAGGTTAATTAATACACATCCAAAAATCGACCTAACCCACTACGGTAGTAGAGAAAAACGATTAAATACAGTACAAAATACAAGCCTACACAAGAAGTAGAGATAACGCATGAAATACAGTTATAGTTTTGACTTATCCCTTACTTACAGTATCTTACATACAGTATGAGGGTATGCCAGGGATCCACCAATCCCATCTTAATTTTATTAAAATCCTGTATAATCAACGCACATAGTTTTTTTTTAGGTTGTGTTTGTAAATCTTAAACACAATTATCTCACTGCATAACACTGCATTGACTTTGACTAAAGCAATTAGACTTCTCATCCATCAATACATAAAAACCTGTTTTGTGTTGTTGGTATCGTTTAGAGTGCGACGATGTCGACATAACTACTATTATTTTATGATTAATATTAGATTATAATACCATTGGAAAAGCGGTTTTTTTTTTAAATTAGATTGTTTTAGTGTATTCCCCATATAGGGAATAAGCTATTACTGTAGGTCTCATGGCAATAAGACCTATACCCGGGACGGATTTACTTTTTCGTTTGAATACCCAGAGGTCAAAACATCATCCTATCAAATTCGGATATATATAGTGTGTGTGAGCCCTAAAATTTGATCAACAATTATATTTTTTTAATTCAATTTAGTACAAACGTGTTAACCTACATTCGAAGGAGTTCGTGAACAAAGTGATCGGGCTATGGGAACGGGGTTTATCGGGGTTTTATCTACCTTACCTTACCTCCTTGGCCATTCAAACTTAAGAAGGTTTTTGGTCTCACCAACAAGATATAGGTGTTTTACGGGGTAAAAATTATTTGTAAGATTTTGACCCAAAAAACATAAACTTTCGCGATTTTTTTCAAACAATTTTGTAGAGCTTAAAACAAATAATTTAATATATTAAGTAATTATTGGTTTTGGAAAATATTCAAAAAATTTTAAACTCAAAATTCTTATGCAATTCTTATTAAGAATAAGTAAACTCTTGTAATTTTCGTGTTTATGGATATATTTTGATCAATCTTGGCAAATTATTTATTTTACAATAAGCTATTATTAGTTGAAAAAAAAATAGCATTATTACCCTCCTTGCAGCAGCAAACCTAGGTAATCGTTATATCTAATGTTATTTAAACATATTTAAGTAATAGTGAAAGTAATTTAAGAGATAGTGAAAATCAAAGCAGACAAATTGAAACTCACTTAGTCTGCAGGTTTGCTGGGGGAAGTTGATATAAGTTGATATAAGTTAAATACCTATAAATAATCCACTAAACTACAAACACCTTCTAAATAACCTTCTACCTTCTACAAAGGTACCGCAACGAACCTTATAATAATTATCTCCAGCTGGTGTATTAGGGAATTGGGTGCATGTATATTCTATGGTAATAGCATTAACTGAAGTTCCATATATAAGGACCAGCTGCCATTTTTTTAAATAACGTAGTTGTGTGAGCCAATCACAGAATATGCTAGCGAATATAACTCTATTCTCTACTTTATTTTTTGTTGCTGGCCAAGTTGGTGGGTTATACCAGTTAAAGCTCACAATAAGTCATTCCATTAGTATGAATTGGTAAAAAAGATTGGGTATTCGACAGAAATCAGTAGTTTAGATCAGCATAATCAGTCGGTGACTCACATCAACTACGAAGATTTTGGTTTAAAATCTGGCTACAAATTTATCATGGGGATGGAATGTCTAGTTGTACAGTATAGACACAAGGTTGTACCAATTGTAAGCATCACTCCAATGTCCAACGTTGATTCCTAGTTGAGTAACTGCCTATGTATATAGATATTGATATTAATTGTTTGTTTATGAATGTAATACTTCATAAATTAAGGTGAGTGATAAATAAAATAATGAATAATTTTCATTTGATACAGGTTCTTATGATGAGGTGTCGAAAACACTCAATATTTCACATGATTTTGAAGAACCACTTAAGTAACTTCATAGTTCAGAAAAATTATAATAGTCTATAATGATATTCAAGTCCCGAGCAAGACAAAATTTATATCTAGAAAGCCACGAGATATGTATGTGTAATAATGTATATATAGTATACTATTTTTAACAATAAATTTCCATTGAAACATATAATATAAACCCCAACTCAAATCTACGTTCGTGCATATATAAGTCTTTAAAGATATATAAATTAACAGGGTCATATGAAGCTTCAATAATAAAAATTTAATGCAAAATTTATATCAATTGAAGTTACATTTGTAGCTTTAGAATAAATAGAGCCAAATATTTTCAGCGAGTTTACCATGGTTGTGTTTGTTAGTTTATTTGCATATAGCTTACCACGTGCTTACCAATCTATATGTACTGGTACTCTTGGGGTAAAATTTATTAACTACAAAACAATATATTCACTACCGTTGCAGTTTTATTGAAGTTCTTAAAAATATATAACCAATATTATTCCTACCAAAGAATATTAAACGTTCAAGTTACTATGTACTCTAAAGTAATCATCGCATCCTCAGCAAAGTCAAGAACGGTTTGAAAGGTCCTCTTCACCCTATATTTATAACATTTTTTATTTTTCTAAATGGGTGTTTTGGAATTCCAAAATCTGACATAATTGTGTAACTGACGACTGACACTGACGTCATGAGCTTATTGTGTTTGTTCCCAATTTTTGTATTCATCCAACTTTTAAGAATCCTCCTGATTGAAACAGCCCGTGCAATGATTACTTATGTTTCTGCCCGTTACATTTATTATGTAATAATGTAGGCCGGTTTACACGCTACGAAATCACATCACGGATTGTCTATAACGATTGTATCAGGAACTAAGCATGAGATAGTTTGCTGCAATATTTTTCCCAATAACAACTACGGTCTTATAAAGTATAGAATTGTTTCTGATAAGAATGGTCTTGATTTTTCATCCGCAACAAACTTAAGTCAGCTCTTATAGTGAGTCGGTGGCTCAGTCGGTAGCGTCGCGGACTTTGGGCCCAAGGCAGCGATGTCGTGGGTTTGGATCCTGGTCAGTGCCGATAACATTTTATCAGTACAGTTCACCTTTGTACTGTACCGGCTCACTCCTTGCTTTGCTGTAAACGATGCACGCACGGGCGCTTAGTCTATGTGGACGGGCAAATGCAAGGTTAAAAGAGGCCACCAACCTCTTAAAAAAGGAAAAAAAATGGTGAAGCATCCTGAAGTGTGATGACTTGTTCATAAAAAAAAAATAGTAAAATGACTAAGCTAAAACGAAACATAAAATATAATTATCACCGCCAAAAATACTACCTATAGTTTATCCACACATGTTATGTGATTACATTCGAGGTCTCAGACTTGCAGCGATCCCAATGGGTATATAAATAGTCAGGAATTCACTCCAAACCTATACGCCCTTTGCAGAAAGGGCGATGCCAATTTTGGTTGGCAACATATAGACGATACAAATTCCACTTTAACCAATTATTGCTCATTTACTCAGTGACGGTAGACCGCTGGTAGCACGCTGGTAGCTATGATACCCTGTTTGCTGATTGTCGTGTGGAGCAGTGTAGCGATGTGGTTGCCATAATTGGTCGGCCAGCACACTTATCCCAACCTCAACTCTTCACTCTGACCAATACTGTAGTTGTACATTTCCTCAGTGACGGTAGACCGCTGGTAGCTATGATACCCTGTTTGCTGATTGTCGTGTGGAGCAGTGTAGCGATGTGGTTGCCATAATTGGTCGGCCAGCAC